AGTATTCGACCGTCTCAGGGCAGAACGTGCTCAAAGACAGCCAGGCGACCCTTCAAAAGATGGACGAGACCAAGAAGTGGAACAAGCCACTGATTCGGCGAAAGCCACAAGATTTGACTGTGCACAATGACTTCAGCACTCCGGTCCACCTAAACTCGACTGCCTCCAACAAACTGCGGATGTTCGTTGAAGAGTTTCTGGACTCAGGCTTCAATCCCCTTCTCACTCATGTACGAAAGGCAATCGAACGTGAAGCAGACCGGGTCATGGACATCAACACGCGCCAGTTTCTCTACACTACTGCCTGGTTTCTCGAAGCGGAGCGCGCACGTCGGGCACGCCAACGCAAGAAGCATGCAGAGAGCGAAAAGCCGGCAAAGGAGCTTGAACCCGATAGCTTCGGTCTAGTTGCGGGCGTCCTAAATCAAGAAACGTTCGTCTTCTTGAATCGCGCTATGCAGTATGCGCTGGATAACAAGGACTGGGAAGATCTCAACGCTGGAATGCGCTGTTTCACCCAGATCTTGTTGACCGTGCAGGACATGGCCCAGTCTCCGCTCGAAGAAGACCAAGAGATTGCTGAAAACATCCAAAATCGTATCTTTTACGAAGAAACAACCCATGACCGCGTCCTCGCTGTTATTCGTGGATACAAGGATCAACCGTTTGGGTATCTGGATGCGTGCACTGAACTCACTCACGTCTTCTTGCGAATGTTGGAGCGTTATTCGAAGGAGAACCTCGATATGCAAGTGCGATCTCGCCGACGTGCCAGACGCAAAGTCAAGGATGTAGAAGGTGCTGGTAATGACGAGAATGATGAAGAGAATGGCTCCGAAGATGAAGATCGCATGGAAGCAGAACGAGTGTCCAAAGAGCGCAAGTTCGATTTCAGACGGTTTGCCGCCAAATTTTGCAATCAGAAATGCGTTGACACCTTTGTTGCTTTCACTAAGCACTACAAGGAGTTGAACACTGAGCAGCTAAAACGCGCCCACCGTTACTTTTACAGAATTGCTTTCAAGCAAGAACTGAGTGTTCTGCTATTCCGACTCGATATCATCAACCTCTTCTACCGGATGATTAAAGGCCCAGGCGCCTTAGATTCGAGTAAACCGATCTTCAAAGAGTGGGAAGAATTTGTGCGTCAGATTATCCGGCGATTGACAAAGAGGCTCGACCAACGGCCTGCCCTGTTCGTGGAGCTGCTGTTCAGTAAGATCAACGCGACTACATTCTACCTCGAATATGGTCACGAGCGGCAGACAGTCACCCGTGCCAGGAAGGCTCCAGCAGAACTAGAGATCGACCCCCGACAGGCTCATACAATTGAAGAGAAAATCAGCATCATGGTGCCTGCATTGGTCTTGGATGGGGAGGAAGATCTGGTCAGTTGGGTCAGCGATGTGTTGGGGTCGGCAGTGGAAGAGAGAGAGGCTTGGGAAGCCCAGGAGAAGGCCCTGCGCGAGGCGGGTGCGGAGAATTCCAGAATGCCCAATCCTATGATTTGTATGTTTTTATTTACTCATATATGAACTGGAAGCTAACATTTCTGCAGCTGTGAAAGCGCGCGACGATGCATGCCAGCAGGCCATGTTTTCCAACGCGAAGCTCCGTCTTCTGATGACATTGGTCAAGTTTGAACGACTTGGTGCAGAGGACGTGCCTGGAGCAGCCTGGGTCATTCCTTCTGCTCCAAAGGCCCAGGATCTCAGAGAGATGAAGTCATTTATCGACAAATACTTCGAGAAAGCTAAGCGAGGGACACTTGGACGAGACCCCCGTGAGCTGATCCGACGGAAATACGGTGGTGGAAAGAAGTCGTCAGACAACCAGTACAACCCTGATATTCACTTTGGGGATGATTCCGAGGGCGAGGACGAGGTACCAGACGGGCCCTTGTTCCCGCCGAACCCTCGGGCAGCGCCAAATCCAGCCAAGAAACCAACCAAGAAGAAAAAGCGCAAAGAACGTGACCCGGATGATGAGGATGAGGACGACTCGGTGGATGAGGAGACCTTGGAGGAGCGTCGCCGGGCGCGCTTGGAAAATAGTCGAGCTCGTCTTGCCAAGATCAAGAGTGATCTGTATGTGCACGCGAGTGACGAAGACACCGATGAAGAAGGAGACAAAGAGTTCTTCCTCCTAGAGGAGCAGAGACGTAAAGAACAAGCCCAGCGTATCAGGCATGCACTACTTACCGGCATGACCGAGGACGGAGACGGTTCAACCAATAAGAAAGGTCAACGCAAGCGCCAAACCAATCGCACCCGGACAGGTGAAGCCAAGAGCAAGCGGCAACGACGCGGGAAGCAGACTGATGAAGTGGACGAAGATGATGATGTCGTGATGGGGAACATGGATGCCCCATCGCCTATGTCGGAAAAAGAGGGCACGCCATCTGAGGAGGCGGACGATGGCTTCAATTTCGATGACGATTTGGTATTCAGTCGGGATCGAGAGAAGCTGTTGGGTTCTGCTGGGACCGAAGACCAGGACTCGAGCAAGCCTGATGAAGCAATGGCGCAGGACGAAGACGATGATGACGCACCGGTTGTAGCAACAAATCGCAGACGCATGCGCGCGGGCTTCGTGGTGGATAGTGACTCGGAGTAGAACGGGTGTCTGCTCTATTTACTTTCATGGCATGATGACTTGATGCGGTGTTTGGTGTCGAGCATGAATATAGGCATTGTTTGAATTGGCATCTGTATGTATATGGATTAGCATGCATGGATAGACAATGCATACCCTTGGTTTACTGGGCAATAATGGAAAGTTCCTGCCCTCTGGTTCCAGAGATGGTGAAGCTGAGGGTCCTTCCAGTCCCCGGCTTTATCCATTCTCCTGAACTGTTCAGAAAGCGTTATCGAAGTGGTCTTTATAGTGATTAAAAAGGCTGCAGCGAAGTTGCATGAAGGCATGTCCTCGACGTATTGCACCCTGACCATTCCATACATTTAGGAGCCAAGCCTTATTTACTGACCAGTGAGCTAGGCATCACACCTACACGCGTCTTAGATGCTGATGAGAATATTGCCTCCGTGATCACGGGATCGATACGTGAATTCGAAGACAAGATATCCCGTGTCTAAGTGAATACAGTGGCGACGCGCGTTCCTATTCCTACTGCACGCAACTTGTTATCGTTGCTCAAAACTCGTAACACAGTAAGCCATTTTCTATGCTTTGCAGTGCAGATGACGCTGGTCTCCAGCACTCTTGAATCACACGTCTCACCTTCCCAAGATCCAGCGCCGTACTAAATCCATGATGCCTGATCGGGTAACTCGCAGATCCCTTCTTGCCAGTTCTCTTCAAGTTCTCAAATGTGCATTCAAAAGTCGACGTAGCCGCTCAGGCAACATGAATGCTGAAGCCAGCCACAGCAACCGCACCCAGGACACTAGTAGCAACAGCACAATCAACGAGCCGATCTGCCCTGCACCAAATACCCCCAGATCACCATTATCTGCCACAGAAACCAGCTCATCGGCATCCACACCAACCAAGAAGCTACGTTCCCTACGTGGAGAACGAATCAGGCGAGCAGTGATGCTATCTTCAGACACAACAACAGACGCTGGAAAGCCTTCCACCCAAGCCGAGGAGGAAGGGCAAGGTCATCTTGGAGACTGCAATGAAGAATTGATCTCCGTATCCCAGAAGGAGGAGGAAAGACAACCTCTGATCCTGCATGAGACCTCGTTCCCTGTCTCTCATCAGGCTGCGGGTGAAAAGGCTCACTATGCCAATTATTCTAGACTTCCCACTCCTGTCAAGCCACCGACGTCAAATCTGTATTCGCATGAGATGTACCAGCATGAAGGAAGACGGAGTGTGCTTTCCTCTTTGGGGGCACCTCATACTGCTGGAAAACGGTATGGCGGAGGGGATCTGAGGTCCGGTTCATCAGAGGATAGTCCTGGAGTATGCAGCCGAAGCAACAGCATGCATGATAGCAGTACGGGGGCATCTGAGCAGAAACCATCAGGCTTACCACTCCCACAGCGAGGCCACAGCAGTGAGCGAGTCCAGCTGAGAAGAACAAATGTACTTCCGGCTTCAACGCGCGACCATGGCAGCAGCAAGCCAGAAAATGCCCGCAAGTCGCTTCCAGTTATTGTTACCGGTCGACCGTCAAAAAGAGTATTGAGTCGGAAGGAGGTGTCCCATAGTAGAGCCGAGATGAAGGCAAATCCAAACTCAAGCTTAAGCTCAGATCTCACGCGCGCCCATGCAGCAGATGCACCCCGGCCATGCTCAGGAGAGCACCACACAGACAGCCAGCAGTTCTTGCGATTGATACCGACTGAGGACAATATTGGTCTTGGCTTGCAAATGCAGGCACACGATCATCATTCAGATGCAACGCCCACATCCGAAGCAGAGTTGGCGAGATCGAGTCTAAGGGCGCTGCCGAGGCGGGTGCGGTTAACGAATAAATTTGAGAACCTGCGGGCACAGAATGACAAAAAGGAGAAGCAGTCTGGAGAAGCAGCAGTACAGTCTTTCTTGAAATTGAATTGACCGACCAACTTCATCAACTCGCCCACTTCTCTCTTTGTGAGGTGCTGTAAGGTCTTTCCGGCTTGCACAATGAATCCTCCAAGCATGTATTAAACGGAGGTACAAATGAGATAGGTCTAATATTAAGGAATTACAATGCAAACCGAATATTTAAACTTCCCTATCTTTCAATACAAACTAAATAATTTCATTGATGGGGACGAAGTAGGGGTTGCAATGGACGGCCTGCCTTAGGCATGAATCGAGTGAATCCGGGAAGATTGCCGAGTGGATCTCTTCCAAGTACGCAGTGGAGTCCATCCACTCCATCAATCTATCTAGTTAGCAGCTAGGGTTCCAGACATGGAGCTATTATTCAGGGTTTCACCTCACTAGAGCATCAGGTTTCTCGTGTTAGTCTTCTCTACTCATCTTCTACTTCCTCCTACAACAGTCGCAGGTCTCCTTCAATATTCGTGAATCTTGTCCCAATGTCGTCCGAACATAAGACGGCATCGAGGATCCTGAGCTTCCCAGTCGAAGTGTTACATTTGGTCTTCGAGTTACTTTCGCTGGCTGAACTGCGTGCGCTTAGCCTTGTCAATAAAGAGCTGCGCACCCAAGTTGAGCCATTCCTTTACGCAAACATTCAATGGCTTTGGCAGGAAGCTCCTTCGCCTCCCCCGATCACTCAACTCTTACGCACAATCTCATGCAGGCCACATTTGGCTGCATACATCACAAATGTTCACTTAGATGGAATGCGCATCAGAGGTCGCAATATGGCAGGCTCTCTTCCCACGACTCCCATTTCCAGCTCCGAATTGACCGAATACACTGCAGTCGTCCAGGGAACTGGAGTACCCTACAGCGACCGCTGGATACGCGAATTACATCAGGGCACTATTGATGCTCTTCTTGCTCTTCTGGTAGCACAACTTTCGAATCTCAGGAGCTTGTATCTTGGCCCGATTTTCACGAAAGAAAGTCAGTTTGTCGGGAAGGTTCTCAACTCAGCCCTATGCAGACCTAAGACTTACAGGCTACCTACTTTCCAATATCTCCGGAATGTGTCTTTCCACCGCGTCGTGGGAACCGACGGCACAAAGCCTAAAATGACTCCCCGAGATAGAAGCAAGAACACCGCCAATGTCCTACCATTATTTTATCTCCCGAACGTCCAAAGCATGTCTGTCACTGTTGAAAACCCGGATGTATTCACATGGCCTGCAGCGCACTTCCCTGAGCCTTCCAATCTTACCTCGCTTGATTTGACCGCTGTACGGGAAGCCTATCTCGGTGACTTGCTGTCAGTCACGCCAAACCTCAAAACCCTTCGCTGGGCCTGGTATTACGACTATGGCGTCGAGGATGACTTCGTTTCGCCTATCGTCAATCTTGAGAGGGTCGCGGCCGCGTTATGTCATGTTCGAAGTACTCTAACGGATTTAACAATCACAGCTGATGCCCCAATTGGAGGCAATGAGCAGTTTTATCCCGCTGTCAAGATGGAGGGCTCGCTGCATGCCCTCAATAATTTCGACGATCTCAAGAGACTTCGGATTCCCCTGGCATTCCTCGTAGGGTTTGTCGAAGACACAACAAAGAGATTGCAGGATGTGGTCCCAAGGAATATCGAATTCCTAACCATTACGGACGAGTTAGGCCTACAGAATGACGACGGAGATTATAATAGTGCTTGGCCGATCTATGAATGGACGGATTCTGCCGTTCTGACCTTGCTTCGGACATGGCTGGAGGATTGGAGATCCTGCACGCCTCATCTTCGTGGAATATCTATCTTGTTCGACTATATAGAGGCAAACAGTGGGGAATGGCCCCCGGACTTGAGGCACCAACTCATGGAGCTAGGTGCGCAAGCTGGAGTCTCCCTCGACTTAATCGAATGGAAACGCGACTGGTAAAACTTTATCATACATCCAGAGCCACTAGGCCATATGACTCAAAGCAACCCAAATTATGACCGTTAATCCTTTATTTTTTGCTGTTGCTGCTCGTATCGGGAGAGTAGCATAACTGGATCTGGCTCCTCTTCTCTATGCCACCCGCGATCTCACTCAGACTGAACTCGTTGAACTCTTTGTTAGCATCTACGACTTCAATGTCGTACTCCTGAACAAATGTGCTGCATCCGAATTTTTCCTATGAACATATCGATTAGCACCCAGCCACCAGAATTCTAGGAAGGAGTCGAAGGGTAATCATGCATCCACTCACTCCTTTATTATCCGTACAAGGATCCGTCCTTTTACCTCCCACAATAGTAGCAACCCTTGGCTTTTGGGAACTTAAAGACTTGCCCGGATGAACCAAGTAGTACAAATGAGCCGCCATTTCCTCACCACACTTGCCCTCATTTTTATGGATCGACTCTTTCCCAAAATCCCTCCGCCAAGTAACTTGACACCGCTCCAGAGCCTTAGCAACAGGGGTATCCGTATAATAATACGAGAACGACTCGCCTTTCTGCGACGAAGCGAGTATGATTTCGTGATCGAATGCAAGGACTGTCATAGCTTTGCTTCTCTGCCTCTTAGGGATCCCGTAAGCTTCCTGGTTTGCTTGCATCTCATTGTATCCCGTGAGTGCGATCTGCCAAAGCTGCTCATCCTCGATACCATTCGTCTCATCGTTGACCAGTCCCTTGAACTTGAGATGGCTGCTGAAGACCCAATTTCGGATGACCGTTGAGTCCTTTGGATCCACGTTTGGCCAGGTCCTTGCGAAGTTGAGATCAAGTTTGATGCCTAGGGCTGTGTCACCTTCTTTTGCGAAGTCTTTTTCGCCATCGTTGATGTCGTAGGCTGCGTTAACCAGGGAGTTGAATGCGAAGAGAATGAGTAGGAGGAAGTGGGAGAGACGGGGGATTGATATCCCTCTCTTAATTTCCTGTTTGGAGGTATCTTGGTCAACGAGGAAATATGATGGTGAGAGAGGTGTTCTCCTACTTGGAACTTCATGATAATCGGATTTGAATTGAAAATCTTTGAACCTACAAATGCATTTAATAATGGGATTCTAACAATCCCATTGGTTTTAAACCACCTATAGTGTTTTCGCTACACCTGCCTGTTCTCATCATAGAAGACTCGTCTCTACACTGCAATAGGCTAACTTCTACTGCAGTAGTATAGGCCCCATAGTCATCAAATCTTGCAGATTTTTCTTCACACTAGCAATGTACGATAGCTTGCTTGCTGGGGCTATACAGGGCGGAGTTACTCGGAAGCGTTGTACTTTGGCGCATATCGTAGTAATTTCGTAGTAATTGATCATTTCCCGTTGAAACTAGCGCAGGGTCGACCCAGGCAGTGGGATACCTAGGGATGAGCCTCACATGAGGAAGATTAGGGTTAACTAAATAAGCCATATAATGTACCCATGCAGAATAGAAGCACTCGAGGCATACGGTAGTAGCTTTTGTCGCAAAGCTTCAACATCGGAGGCTCGATTGGCATTGGAAACCGTGAAGAGTTACCTAATCTGAGTCACTACTTTGATATCCCATCTAAGGGTCCCATTCATCTTGAGATAATTGACGGTGCTAACCCAGTAATGGTTAATGAACACCTCCAGACACGGCCTATGAGAGGACAAACGGAGAGACAAATCACTATATCGCAGGGATATTCGATCCACTTTTAAGATTCCCCTACGCTACTAAGTATTTTCTGTAGACGGTGGATCATCAAGAATTGTCCGATATGGGTTACTTGGACGCCTATGCCCTAAGGCTGTTCGCGATAGCAGTGCTGGAATTACAGTCCTTGGCATCCGATGAGATTAGCTGGATGGATATGGAGTTTAGGGCAGCGCTAGTTCAGGACCAGGACTGTCAATAAGAGCTAGATTGAACTATCGATTCTGTGTTTTACCTTATCCGTGGACCCTGGATTACTATCAAGTGGGACTGCACAAGCTTCGGCCCTGTCAGAGTCTCGGAAATTTCCACCACATGTGGGTTCTAATCTCGGGTTCTTTTCGGGAATACCTCTCCCATCATTCAACCAGTCTGATGTCTACAATGTGCAGAATTGTTCTCTGGACCCCCCGGAAGAAGTTTCCTATTATCTAATCTACCTACAGATTGCTTCAGCGGGTCTCGGGGGGTCTTTTGATGTCTAGTGGCCCGGTGGCATAGCAGACAATTTTTTTTTTTGGCACTCTGTCACTAAATTCATTGACCTATCTACAGCGTCTATGCATTAGACAATCGTTGATTCTTTCTGCCGTGGGCATTAGATGATGCAATATAGTACCTGGTAAGAAAAAGGAAGGACATGTCTGACAAGATTGGCAAGTTGAAAGTCTCCGAAAGTCTGTGGACAAAACTAATGAACCTCATAAGCACCGCAAGAGTACTGATACTATGTCTTTCTATTGGTCAGCTCATATATAGCTGTGTCTCAGTTGAGCAGCTAGCACCAGTCCAGCTTGATAGCTTCGAGATCGGTGAACCGAAACAATGACAATGTCCATCTTCCACAAAGCACCCCATCGAACTACTACAATACACTATACAGCCGGTGGACCTTTGGCTCCTCAGTATATCTCGCCAGACCTTCCAAGATGTGAGGACAGCACCGTAGAAGTGTGGTCTTCCTCTCGTGGAAGATGATGGGATGTGAAAGTCCACCAGCGCACCATACAACTCGACTAGGTCATGGCCCATGTAATGAGTTATTAGAAGTTCCTTTATGCCCTTTGTAGGTTTTAAATAGTTCTTGAATATCTGTGAAGTCTCTCTTTTGCTTCTTTTTCTTTTCTTCTTTTCCACCCCCTACCCTGCCTAGCTTCTTTATCTGCAATGCACACGCAACCATGGCATGGCCTAGTGGCCATTGTCACCATCGGCAGTTGCGTTAGTGCAAGTCCTCTTGCACCCTGGGAACTGCGTGGAAATGCAAGCATGCAATCTGCACACTTGATGGGCATAAGAGATACAGACGACTTTGATCCGGCCGAACTTTCCCACATAACAAAGCTGGCTGCTATCGGCGACTCCCATTCGGCCGGAATAGGTGCTGGAAGCCGACTTGGAAATATTGGCGAAGCGCTCAACTCGAAGAGTAGTAAGTTAGTTCCTTGATTTCAAAGGTGTTTTGAACCGTGAACTGATGGGTCTGTCAAAAATACACAGATTGGGCTTGCAGTCGCTATGATCAGGCGTATCCTGTTCTTATCAATAATGATGAACGCCTGGGAGATCCAGCAACAAGAACCTTCCAATTCGAATCTTGCTCTGGTGCAGTCATCTCCGATGTCATCAACGATCAGATCCCTAATCTCAATGGGGACCAGCAAGTCATTCTGCTATCAGCCGGTATGGCCAGACGTTATCTATCTATCTCCCTTTCCTTTCTGCATATCCAACTAACATCTATATTGCCCTAGGCGGTAACGATGCTGAGCTCTCCAACATCCTTAATCAGTGCATTTATCAATGGGCCGTATTAAACCCCACCCAGGTCTTAGTAGCCAAGGCCGCTGCCCTTGCCAACTTGGAATATGGTTGGATGGCGGATATCGATTGGGATGCATTGGCCCGTGGCTGCGATGGGCAGCTGGAACATACAAATCGTCTCATTAATGGAGATGCCTTCAGCAAGAGCTTGGACAACGTCATTGCGGCGGCAAAGAAAAAGCTAGGATCAAAGTGAGTACCAGGAATACCCTAATTCGGAAGCTTGTTTCTAACTGTAAGGCAGTGGTATGATCTACTACACGGGGTAAGATGCCATGTTGTTTCATCGTCCCCAGCAGTCACTAAGAAGCGTGATGCAGTTATGCCAAATTCTGGGCCGAAGATCTATCACCTGCGTGCGATAAGGTTAGCTGGTCAACCTGGATTCATGTGAGTGAAACTCAATATCTTCTCCAGTAACAACCAGAGAGATACTGATTGCCCTTGACAGAACCTCTACAACTTATTTCAGGATACAGAGACACTGACAAGTGCTCATCGCAAAACAATGAATGACCTTGTGGATTCCGTCAATGAGAAGATTGTTGGTTTTTTCACCCACCCCTTGTCGGGTAAAGCTGATGCTAATTTTCTATTTTTACAGTCGTCTGCAGTAGAAAGAGCCGGCGCGCAGGTCAAATTTGTCGATTATGACTCTTATGTTGGCTATTTCAACGGCCGATTTTGTGAAGCCGGTGTCGATGAATCGACGTCAGATAGCAACACAAGGTGGGTGCTCAAAGTCCACCATGAATGGAAAATAGCCTAGCCATTGGGTAGACTGACATGACATACAGAGAGGGTCTAATGTTCTACGAGCTAAACACGTGGGATCCCCTCGGCTCTAATCCTCACAAACGAAGCCAAGACCGTCCCCTAGAGGGAACGTTTGAGGGCTCTGTGAATGAATATGCGGAGATTACCAAACTCCTCGATCCGGACGCTCAGATTTCCAAACAGACCTCGGTGTCTGACGATACTACTGATATGACTCTTGTGGAGTCGAAACTATCTCTCAGTGCTGTGTCCGAATCTTCTGATATCGAAGTTCCAAATGTGCTGCCAGACGGGTAAGAAGCTCTTCGCCTTGTTCGCGGAACGTGTTGTTGATGGATTCCTGACGACTGAACTATCTTTTAATTCAGATATGGACGTGTTTTCCATCCTCAGGTTCAGCTTCATGAGCTTATTGCCAATTTAGTCATCTATGAGATGACCAACAAGAACGAGATGGACAATGGGTATCCAGAAATTCCAGAGAAATTCACTTTCGACTCATGCCCTTGGACACCGGCAGACGTCGACGATGACGAATCAATGGATGCAGGAGGTCAACAGATTGCTTTGGCATCGTACATCAATCCATTATCCGACCCCACTGCATGGACTCGGATGATCGACTACCCATCCGACAAGGTGACCGTTCTGGTTGCCAACGTCCTCAACGGACCGGATACGACTGTGGATGAGGATTGGGAGAAGGTAATCTCCCGGGCCAATGCAGCGGGTAAACGAGTTCTCGGCTATGTGCGTACAGGGTATCTTGGCCTGAGCCAAGATCAATTCCAGACTTGACTGGGTTCGAGCGGTCTGGCCGACTGGGTCTCACAGATCCAGACCGATGTCGAACTGTGGTACACGTTATACCCTGGCATGATTGGCGGTATATTCTTCGACGAAGGGTGGAACCAATGCGGCGACGACAATGTATATTCAGATCTGTATCGGTTTATCACTGACTATACGAAGCGCATGCACCCAGGAGCCTTTACCGTCCTCAATCCCGGGGCTACTATGCCACAGTGTTTCGAGCATAGGTATGTAGTATATCCCCTTGCTAGAAACATAAGAAGATTTCGCTAACAATGGTCAACAGCGCCGACACACTCATGACTTTCGAGAACAGCTACGATACATACATGAACAACTACTCACCAAATCCTGACTGGACACCTAGCGATCCGCGTAAGCTCTGGCACATTATCTACAATGTCCCCTCAGACAGTGTGGGCAAGGTTGCTGAGCTGGCCCTGAAGCGCGGAGCTGGCCTGATCCATATCACCAACGACAACCTCCCCAATCCGTATGATACCCTCCCTGATGATGACTACATGCAGGTCATCATGAGCGCCCTTGAAGGTGGCATGCCGGCCATTTCCAGTCCCACCGCGTATGAAAAGAACGGCCAGTCTGCACCTGCTCCCAGTTCATTAGCAGTGACCGCCTCAGATTACTCCTCCGTGAGTCTGAGCTGGGGAGCTAGTTCCCCTGCTCCCTATGCGTACTCGATCTATCAGAATGGGAAAGAAGTGGCCCGTCTACCGGGCAGCATGACCAAGGTTACCATCGGCAACATCGATCACGGTACCTCCATTACCTTCACCGTGAGGGCTATCGGGTCCGGGGGGAGCGCGTCAGGTGATTCAAACTCGGTCGAGGCAACGACGCTTGAGTTACCGGACAACCAGCCCGTCACCAACGTAAAGAGCAGCTCGACCGCTACAAAAACTACGGTCCAGGCCGATATCCTTATTCCCTTTGCTTTCCAACGCGTCTTCTTGACCGACCCGGACACCGCCTGCGAGATGCCGGCGTGGCCCATCAACTACAATCTCGGCAATTACATTTGCACACACTACATGGTTGAGAGCGGAACTCTGTTCAAATACAGTGGTGCCGAATTGCCGGCCGGACAGACCAATTATCCCTGGGCGTGGACCTCGATGGGCACTGTCCCCATCTCTCGGAGTGGCTACACCTGGACGTGGGAGCTTCCCATCGGATCTGATACTGTGGACACGAACTACTTTGTCGTTGAGGCACAGGGATATGGACCCCTGACCAATGTCTTCCACCCATGCCCCAGTACCTGGGACGATGCCACCCTCAGCAGCGGAGCCTACTGCACGGGCAACTCACCGTACGATTGCAAAGGCGCGACACTCTGCAGTACTTTGAATGTCAAGTGGTGCGACAAGGCTGTCAACCAGATGAATCGTGGCTCGACACTCTATACTGCCAACGCAGAGGCCCTCGCGCTGTCTGGTAACTGCTGGGCCAATTGGGAGCAGTTCGGCTGCTCGGTGAAGATCCGTGGCAAGGACGAGAACGGAAAGGACTGTACTATTACCGGCGATGAGATGTGGGAGGCCTATCAAGATATCCGCAAAATTGGCGGGTGCAAAAAATGTGGCAGCAAGCACTTTGGGAATGGCTGCCTGGTCAGCGTAGATTACTACTATGGATGTGATAATCGGGATTCTGGAGTAAACGCGATAGACGTTTGAGAAGCTGGAGTTAGATATATGCAGCATATAGATTTAGATATAATTGACTTCTAACGTTCTACCTTATCCTGTGGATATATGAGAGTTGCATACTTCGAAACCGTGCCAAGCTAGGCAGGCACGTATCAATTGTGACAATAGCCAACGTTGGTGGATAACTGCTTCCTAGTACTCACAAAGTGTCATATTGATGGCTCGCAACCAGGCCATAACAGTGGAAGTATCACCTGGAGTTTTGCTAGATTGATTTCACCACTATTCAAACTCCTATTGTCGATTGTCCTTGAAACAGTGATTGACAATGAACACAAGTAAATGAGACAATGGGAACAGACAAATAGTTTGCTCCAATCTCACCCATTGGATGCTACTTACATTTATTTGTGCCATGCTCCAGTGATATACCCAGGCTACCTACTCACTCCATCTTTCAGATTCTCACACCATCATTTGATATCGAATATATCCGAGCAGACAAATCTCGGAACTATTAATTCTTTCCATAACCAGCAAGACCACCAACGATGTGATAGAGTAACAAACAAACGAACAAACATATTCACTGTACCGACACTAAAAGGGCAGGTGGGAGTGACTGTAGTCCTTCCTCACTTCGGATGATAAATGTTATACTGATCGACTCGTGGTTCGTTCACAGGGCAGATAGCCCAAACACAACACGTTCCTTGACCAGGAGTACGGCATCAAATAATAATTCATCAACCAGAAAATTAACCTTCCTCACTCAACAGTATCAATATGACTCAGATAATCGCCAGAGCCATCAAAAACCAGATTCAATTTAGCTATTCCTATACCCAATACCTCCAAAAAAGCCACACCACCGCCGCCAACTAGACATACACAACTATAAGATCTATACTATCAGAAATGCAACTTCAAGTCAAAGGCGAAGACCAACACGAAAGAGAAAGAGAAAGAGAAGCCCCAAGCACAAGCACAAGCACCACCCCCCGACCTCAAGCCCATCCCAACCCAGACACCACTCCCACCTCCACCACCAGGCGCCGTCCAACCCCGTTCCCTTCACACCTCCCAAGACCTATCGTCCCTCACCCAGCATCCAGCAGAGGAAGCAGAAGAAGAACCCTACCACCACCACGGCCCGAACAACTAGCACGACCACTTCCACGTCACCGTCTCGACTCCCCCATCCCATCACGACTTCCCCAAAGGACCTCAACATCTACCACCATAGAACAGCCCACACCGCCACGTACACGCCTCGAACCGATATATGGAGCCCAATCAAACGCCTACTGGCTTGGAAGACTCGTGACCGTCCTCAACGCTATACTTTACGCAGACTTGTTCAATGCACCGGATCCCGTGACGGGAATTCGCCCACCAAGTGTATTCTCGCTGGCCGTGTCAAGGCATGGGTATTCCCAGCGGGCAGCGGCTCTTGCTGGGTTGGATAGGGGCGTTACGGGGAGATTTAGGAGGGCGTTCATGATGCTGGAGGATGCGTGTCGTTCGGAAGACGCGACGCGGAGTTATAGGGCGTTTGGATTGGCGTTTGAAAAGGCTCATGGACCTTGTGGTCAGCGTTTTAGGGACTGATAACCTAATGGTAGAGTTAAGTTGTTTAGTCCGTTGTTGGTGGAGAGGTCGTGAGGTTGAGAGTTGTGTATTAGTATATAGAGATGCGTGGTGGTCTTGCTGTGCTTTGTGCTAGGGACGGACAGATAGTCACCATCATATCACTATTAATGATCCTTGTCTATTTCATTTAAATATCACACTTCCTTTTCTTCTATTTGGATTTTCCCAGCTATTATACACTTTGTAAGACCCCACCTCACAATTGCATTCCTCCGAATTGGGTGGGTTATATATCATCAGTTTCATAAAAATGTCCCGAGAAGCCAGAACGCCGAGCTGCCGTACCTCTATGCAACGCAAGAAGCCATAAGTTTGCTATAATAATATATTCCTTTTCCAGCCCCGTAAAACTTTTTCAGCCAACACCTTTTTAGTGGGGGGTTGATGAACCCTCATATCTTTATTTGCGGCTCCTCAGGAACGCAGCCACTTGTTCATGCCTCGTTACAAAGAACATGCGCTTGCGATCCGACTTCCATGCCAGAACACCAATCTCCTCTGCATAGCGGCATGGGGCCTCGTATTCTGCCAGACTGACAAAGTCCTTGAACAAGAATCCGGATGTAGCCTTAACACGGTCCCGCTCCAGCTGCCAGAGACGAATCTGGTCCACCACGGTGGGCGGGAGGACTGATGGGGGAATTCCGGCTTGGTTCGACGTCGAGCGGGAGACATTGTGCTTGCGCATTTGCGGATGGGCGTGAGTAGAGAGATAGGAGATGATTTGGTCAGCGGTGATGCCCATCTCGACGGCCCGGCGGACGGACTGGCGGGTGATTTTGCCGGTGATGAGGTTGGGGAAGCGGTATTTCAGGGTAGTGAACAGAGCAATAAGGGAGATCTGTAGGGGGGATGAGGTGTATGCGTATACACGGTAGTTGGTTTCGATGATAATGAAGCCCGTGCCCGCTTTGCTGGAGGCTTCGCCGGCAGGACCGGAGAGAGAGCCCAAGAGCGGGTTGCTCAAGGCGCTGGAGTCGGATGTGAGCGTCGTTGCAAGGCGGGTGGGGTAGAAACGCGGTGCATCGGGCGATTCTTGATAGACGATACCGAAGTCGGCAAGGTCGGTGAGCATGCGCAGTTGTTTCGAACTGAGGTGGTTCTTTTCGTATGATTTTCCGAGTTCGAGACTGCTGAGAAGGAACACGAACGAGAGGACCTCGACACTGTCCATCTTGATGGCGCTGGCGCTCTCGACATAGAGAATCAATATGTGCCACACCTGCGTGCTGACGTCTTGCAGGACAAAGGCGAATCCATCCTGGGTGATTTCGACACGACGATCTCGGATCTCAACCAGATGACCCGCCTGCAGGAGCTCCTTCACGCCTTTGCTGAGGGTCACTTGGGGAGCTCCCATGCCTCCGGTACCGACCATGTATCCCAGCACTCCTTCCCACTGTCGTCGCGCATATTCATCGAGATCGGATATTGAGACTTCTGAGCCCGCAGGCACGTGTGAGAGGACGCCAAAGGATTGTGTCTGGTCGGCGCCGGTGAGGGCATGTCGCAATGAGGTGGCGAACGGGTCGGTGACTTTGTAGGCGCGGACGTTATCCGCTGTGACAGTGTTGGAGAGGATATGCAGTCTCCCTAGGATGGAGAGCGCATTGTCGCGTTCTCTGTGTGAGGCTTGTGTTAATCACAATCACCGCGGAGACCCTTCCAGGGTGCTTGCCCTGCACTTACTTCAAGCTTTCTGATTTAACCCAAGCCTCCAGATCCGCCGCGGGGAGCGGATCCTTCAGGTAGAGAAGTGCCATGACAAAGCATTTTGCTAGTCACGCAGTCAGTTGATGAAGCACTGGGATGGTGAATGCACATGCGACACATACCCAGATCAGGCAGCATGCGCCTGAAAATGGCGAGAGCCGTCGATGGCTGCTGGTAAAGTTTGTAAAAGACGGTGCCAGCAAGGCTTTCGAGGTATTCAAAGGGACGAGAAGATGGTGCGGCAGCCATCTTGTCTGCAGGAGTCACCGCTGCAGCATGATGCGGCGGGAAAGAAATGGGGCGTTGGAGCTGAAGCCAAAGAAAGAAGAAACCAACCAACGCCTGGGATTTGAAAGTTGGAGACGATCGGCCCCAAAGCGGAGCTGCTCCGGCGCGCCAAACAGGCCCCAAGCGCAATGAAGCGGCCGCGGCCGATGATCTCACTTTAAACAATCATCTATCTATCTATCTACTTCGTAAGAAGCTTCACTCTCCCCTCTACCCCAATTCCGTTTCAGCGAAAGAAAATGACTGCCTTGCGTTTTGTCCGCTCTGTGAGTTACTTACCTACTTAGTGTTGCACTACATTGAGAAATTATGCCTGTACTAACAATATATATTTGCAGGTTTGGGAGTCCTTTCGAGCTAATTCGGGGCTAGAGCCTCGGTAAGTCATAGAGGCAGACTGCTTTATTCATGCCTGTTCTGGGTTCAGCTTACTGACTGGACCTCAATGGAATTGGCGATCTAGTCTGCTAGACAATGTAAGTCTTTTATGCCGGGATGGCACAACCAGCGTCATCCAGAATTATCCTCAATGGATACACGTCCAGCTGAGGCTTCACTCCAAATCGGACCCGGGGACACCCGTTGATACCGGCTAAATGCTTCGGAACTCTATACTAACAATGATTCCTATCGCACCCAGCTTCGTGTGACTGCTGCCAAACCTGGGTTGGTCAACTTTGAGCTCGATATTAAAAAGGAGCACACGGTAAGCCAGAATCCTGACACTGTTTACTTGGTGACTGACAATAACCAGAACCGCCTGAACATCCTCCATGGCGGCACCATTGCGAGCATGGGTAGGCCACATGCAAACACCGTCTCACATTGAACACGCCTCTGCTGACACCCAATGACACAAAGTGGACCTTGGCGGCTCCCTAGCTGTCGCTTCCCGTGGTCTGTTCGCGACCGGTGTCTCGACCGACCTGAATGGTGAGCAGACAGCAACTTCTGCTTTACCCGAAGACCTCTAACAAATTATACAGTGACGTACCTCAGCTCTGGTGGCAAAGTAGGAGACAAGATCCTAGCGGTATGTTTATATGCCCTTTCTATTAGTAGTCATGACAAAAGGGGGGAAAGGCATGTCCAAGCTAACCCGCTGCATGTGTAACAGGAGGTCAGCTGTGACAAATGTAAGTTCCCTGAATCCACTTGAAAGGCTGCATATACTTACAGTCATCTGCAGTTGGCAAGACCCTTGCATACACGTCGATCAAGTTCGCGAACACTAAGGGTGAAGTCTTCGCCAGGGGAAGCCACACCAAGTAAGTATTCGCATACAAACATATGTCTTTTCACTCACAGAAGGCATTGATGTACTAATATCCTATCAGGTTTGTCGCTCTTGCATGGAAAGACCCTCAAAATATTGTTGAGGAGATCAAGAAGCTTGAGTCTGAGTCCTCATCATCTTAGGTAGTTATTACACATGCCTGGTGCGTTTGCTTAGGGCGAGCTTATTGTTTGCTACTGCATCAACCACCGGCCTCTTCTTTGGCTGGGCAAGCTAGAGCACATGGATTAGAATGGGGTATAGAGGTCTTTTATGTATATAGAGCGGAACTACATAGCCAATTCTACAGGCTCTTCTTCTATAGTAATACTAATCCTGCTATCAGGCAGATTTACCGACGCACACGAAGTAGCAAAAAAATAGAAAAAAGCCTCATCACAACCATTCAGTCATTCAAATAGAAGCCCAGCCATCCAAGTACATCCATGTATGGCTTTTCCTCAGAAATAGATAAAAATCGGGGTTCTCAGTAGTAAAAAAGAAGAGCATGTAGCATGCATACACACATACGGAATGACCGGGCCAGGAGAGAAACAACAAGAGCAACAAGAAACAGATCACGCTTCAGTGAAAGTATGTTCGTGCAAAGGATCATCATCGCCCTCCTCCCCAGCCCCAAGCATGACTTCATCCTCATCCATCACAACCTCCTCGTCGCCTCCTATATCCATCTCATTGTTGACAGCGGTTTCTCCACCCATGGCCTTGAGCTTTGCCTGGGTCATCTCGAAAACATACTGGCCGAGATGTTCGACGCTTTCCATCGGAGTGCCTTGGACTTCGTCGTCCAGGGAGCGCGCAGACGGGAACATCTCGCCAGGGGCAAGCATGAGCTTGTCTGGGCGCTGGAAGAGTAGGTCGAATGCGGGCTTGAGCTCGTAGCATGACTCGAAGACCTCGCGACGACCGAGGATGTACAGACCAAGACGGGCACGGGAGAGTGCAACGGTCAGACGACGGACGTCACGGAGGTAGCCGACGGTGCGGGTTCGGGTGAGGGAAAGAATAACGTCTGGATTGAGGTATAAATCAGTAAGGTCTCCTTGTACGGGGCGGGTTGTCTCCGTGGAAAAACTTACAGTCGTTCTGTTCACCTTGATACTTGTCCACCGTCGTGACGATCTTGGGCATGCCAAATAGTCCGTTCTTGGCACAGCGGTGATTCAAGACATCCTTGATCAATGCCGTTTGGCCTGCATACGTGGCAAGGATGGATATCTTGGAGGCCGGGTATCCAAGGAGGCGCATGTACTGGTAGATGGCAACGGCATACTCGGCCTCTCCCAGATTCTGGATGAAGTGGGGAGTAGGTTCACGTTCACCGGTGCCCTGGTAGTCAGGCACGTTGATAAATTGATATTCGTACTGGAAACCGGAGTTGGCTTGCTTGAACGCTGGCGCCGTCTCAACGGCAGGCAGGTTTCCAAGTTGCTGATAACGCCACCGGAAGAGTTCCGCAATGCTGGGTCTCGCGCGGCCCTGCTGATCCAGTGTGATAACAGGAACGCCCAGCCTCACCAACCGGAGGAACAGACTTTGCTCAAAATGGGCGTATTGTCGGAAAGCCATGTTCTGAATGATGGGAGAATTCTGGAGATGGTCACCGCAAAGGACTATTCGCTTCAGAGGAAGTTCGCCATTCTTCATGTTCTGCAGAGCAGCGGGGATGAAGCTCTCGATCTCCGTGATCTGAGCCGCCTCTTCCATGATCACATTGTCATAGTGGAAGCCGAGATCGGCGATTTCCTGGCGGCGCATGGCAGCATGCGTTGATGTCATTGCGATAATTCTTGCCTCCTTCACAAGTAGATAGTTGGCCTTATCCTTGGGCTGACGCAGGATTTCGAATGGACGGATGTCTTCCAGCTCGGAGAAGATTTTGTCAATGTGCCGCTGGCATCCCTCAGCCACGTCAAGGAGTGTCTCCTTTGTCGCTGT